GGCAGGGCGTGGCTTGGCTATGGTGAGGTAGAGCCATCCCATCCTGGCCAAATTTCTTGTAAAAAGGGGACGATGATAAAGGTGGTTGTACAGGTTTTTACCAGGTACAGTTGTCCAGCATGGGCCCCTTCCCTTCTCAATATTTAGGATATTAACACGTCCCAGGGTACCTGTAACTACATCTTAACCATAAAGGGGGACGCCTGGGTGGCTCAGCGGTTGAGCGTCTGCCTTTGGCTCAGGGCCTGATCCTGGGGTCTCGGCATCGAGTCCCACATCAGGCTCCCTGCATGGAGTCTGCTTTTCTCCCTCTGCCTGTGTCTCTCTCTCTCTGTGTGTCTCTCATGAATAAATAAATAAAATCTAAAAAAAAAAAAAAAAAAGCCACCAGTCTGGCCTGGCTCTTAGTTGACATTTTTCAGTGGGGAACAAGAATTCAGGAAGATAGCTGGGGTGGAGGGGACTATGGAAACTCTCCCTGGTCCACAACACAGGCCCAGTAAAGGGCAAACTTGCACTGTTGTGGGGCACCTGCAGCCACGGAGCGGAGCCCAGCGGACTCCACCGCTGTGTCCAAAGTCAAAGGATGGGCCTCTTGTACTGCCAGGGTTCTTGAATACACTAAGCACTGGGCAGGGGGGGCACTTGCACCCAGACGTGGGTTTACTACTAAAAAACGTGGAGTACTTGGGACTTTCTCAAGGGGAGTGTGGGGTTTCTTGTAGGGTGCATCTGAGCACCCAGAGGGCTCCTCTTTCAGCTCGTTATTGCAAAGACCGGAAGCAAGCAGCCCCCACGTTAATCGCTTCGTCCGAATCACTAGCGGGGTTCGCGGACTCTGGGTGCGAACGGACCCCCACCCGGAGTCCCACCCATTAGTTGTCCACCGGCCGGAACGGAAGAGTCGTGCTCGGAGCCCACACGGCGAGCGGGGGGACCACCGTCGCTTGGCTGCCGGGGGCCCCGCGCCTTGTCCAGCCCTACCTCTGAGTCCCTCGCCCTGGAGGAGCTCGGGGCGACAGCCCTGCACCGACCTGCGTCCCGCGAGGCCCAGCGCTGAGCCATTTTCCGAAGCGTCTCCCAGGGCCCGGGGGCGTGGTGGGAAGTGCCGTTCTCCCGCTTCCCCGCCCGCGGCGGGCTCGCACCACCCTCCGAAGCCCCTTCCGCGGGCGGGGCCCCGCGGGAATCTGGAGCCGCCCGCTGAGCGGCGAGTTAGGACACCCGACCCGCGCGCGCCCCCTGCCGGCAGCGCCCTGCCGGCCGACGCCCCGCCCACACCGTGGCCACGCCCCGGCCGCGTGCCCGCCCGCCAAGCCCCGCCCACCGCGGCTGTAACTCGGGCCACACCCGGGGGTCGGAGCCCGGAGTGAGACCAGAGCCTCGGCTGACTTCGGGGGGCTGCGTTCCCCTGGGAACCTGCTCTCAGCTCTCGCCCTTCCTCGCGCTCTCCCCTCTCTGCCTCCCGCCCCCCCCGCCCCGGTAGCAGGAGACGAGGACGAAATCCGGCCGAAGTGGGGCCGGGGCGGACGCGCGTGGGGAGGACGAGGAGGGGCGGCGGCCCGGGGACAGGCAGCAGCGTCCCTGCCTCACCCCGCTCCCCCCTGGCAGCTGCGACGGCAGCACTTTACACCACGTGTCCTCGTCCTATGCGACTGCTTCTGGAGCTGCTAGTTCTCCAGGCCTTGGCTCTCTCTGGATTTCTTCCGGGGCTCCCCCCCCCCCCCGCCGCGTCTTCAGAGCCAAAAGCCACCTAGCGGGCCGAAGGCCACCAGGGACCCCACCCAAGACTCCGGGGTGGGGGCAAACCCACTGGCCATCAAGGCAAATATTTTCATGCAGTGTTTTTTTTTAAGATTTTATTTATTTATTCATGAGAGACAAAGAGGCAGAGACACAGGCAGAGGGAGAAGCAGGCTCCACGCAGGGAGCCCCACGTGGGACTCGAAGATCAGGCCCTGGGCTGAAGGCGGCGCTAAGCCGCTGAGCCACCGAGGCTGCCCATCATGCAGGGTTTAAATGCAAGTAGGGGGGATCCCTGGGTGGCACAGCGGTTTGGCGCCTGCCTTTGGCCCGGGGCGCAATACTGGAGTCCTGGAATCGAGTCCTACGTCGGGCTCCCGGCACGGAGCCTGCTTCTCTCTCCTGTGTCTCTGCCTCTCTCTTTCTAAAATAATTAATGTTAATTAATTAATTTTTAAAAAATGCAAGTAGGGAAATATCGGCCAGAAGCCTGTTTTGTAAATAACGTTTTATTGGGGCTGTGCATGACACACGGTGGAGCAAGTACAGGATCAGGTCCTACCTATATTTAAATTTTGATAATTTTTATATCATGTTATTTTTGCAATGACTTTAATGTTCACGTTAAGTACCGCACTAAACGGCGTACCTTGGGGACACCTGGGTGGCTCAGTGGTTAAGCATCTGCCTTCTGCTCAGGTCATGATCCCACGGTCCTGGGTTGAGTCCCGATTGGGCTCCCTGCAGGCAGTCTGCTTCTCCGTCTGCCTGTGTCTCTGCCTGTGTCTCTCATGAATAAATAAAATCATTTTTTTTAAAAAAAAGTGTACCTTGATTACTGATTTCTTTAGCCCTACATTATATTTTGCATGGGAGGCAAAACCATCCCCTAAAGCAAACCTCAAACTGAGTATTACAGAAGCGTCCTGAGAGGAGGGGCATGAAGGGGATAGAAATTTTAAAACAAGCCTGAGATAATCTCCGTATATTTAATGTCATCCACATCTCCAAATACCGGGCATTGGTGATTTTCTCCTCTCAGAAAGGAGCTTGCAGTAAGCATCGGTGTAAATGAAACCACAGTGCAGCTGAGTCAACGTGTGAAAAGCAATTGGGCCAGGCAGCCATTCTAAAACATGCTTCAGGACTTTTGTCCTGGACATTTTCATGTTGATTTTTATTGTTTTCCATGATCAGAAAACAAGTTTTGAATTTTGGGGCTTTAAGGGATAGAAAAATCGGATAAATTCCAGATTATGGAAATTGCCCATTACCAATGGAAATGTTAATTCCTAAAGGAAAAGAAAGTAGAACCATTTTTCCTACACCTGTGCTATACATATGCAATTTTTTAAAGAAGGATTTTATTTATTCATGAGAGGCACAGGGGGAGAGAGAGAGGCAGAGTCACAAGTAGAGGGAGAAGCAGGCTCCATGCAGGGAACCCAACGTGGGACTCGATCCCCGGTCTCCAGGATCACGCCCTGGGCTGAAGCCAGTGCTAAACTGCTGAACCACCCGGGCTGCCAGCAACTTTTTTTTTTTTTTTTTTTGCAATAAAGCTCAACTCATAACAGAAATCCTTTAGGGTGGATATGGTAGCCCTCCGTAAACTAGTATCTGTTTCTTGTGTAGTCATGCTGGAACATTAATGCACCGAGAAGCGGCTGCATATAAGAGAGTTCAACTACTCAATTATTTAAAATATTAAAAAGCAAGCAGAAGCTCTGAGCTAAAATGAGTGATTTTCTAAGTATGTTGGCACTAGTACAAGGGAGCCATTTGTCCACAAAACACAGAATAGGAGTGCCTAATGTCTGCTTAGTCATGTTGAGGCTGATGGAGGAAGAGAGTTTCCAGTCCAAGTCCTCCTGTTGTTTTTAAGCATTTGGTAAAGCAATGTAGGGAGTGGCATCCCTAAATTTGTCTAAAAACCAAAGCAAAAAACCACAACAATGGATAAACTTCCACTGCTAAAAAAGGGTGAAAATGGGAGTTCTGACACAGGGATTGCAGATGCCACACAAGTTCAATGTTATGAAGATCTTACCAAAGGTATAAGCAGGGATCCCTGAGTGGCTCAGCGGTTTAGCACCTGCCTTCGGCCCAGGGCGTGATCCAGGAGTCCAGGGCGTGATCCAGGAGTCCCAGGATCGAGTCCCACATCGGGCTCCCTGCATGGAGCCTGCTTCTCCCTCTGCCTGTGTCTCTGCTTCTCTCTGTGTCTCTCATGAATAAATAAATAAAATCTTTTAAAAAAAAACCAAAGGTATAAGTAAGTATTCTCTTGAGGATTTTCTAATGTCTAAGGGACATTCCCCCCCCCCCCCGCTTTTGGCAGTACAATTACAAACAGGTGGGTTTTCTGGAATTTGTTTGATGGGTAAGGGAAGGCTGTCAATTCTAGGTAGATTTGTACCTATGTTAATCTGAAGTACTTTTCCATTTTCTCAAGCAGTGATGATTTATTTGTGCGTCATGGGATCAAAAGGTGATAACTTGAGATGACAGGGAAATTTTATCAAAGTATTGCAGGTGTAAAATTAGGATGAGCTCATTATTAGCTTTGCTGCAGAGCGTGTGTGAATGCATTGTTGGAAACAGGATGTGGCTCTAGCGGTGGGTGTCTGAAAAGCAGCTCAACAAAGCAGCCCCCTGAGTGCTGCAACCTAAGGCCACAGCTGGGCTCACCAGGCAGGTGTGGCCAGGACTTGGGAGGCTCAGGCCTCTTCTTTCTCAAACAGGCAAAGCAAACTCAGAGGAAAAGAAAAAGTTTGGTGACTTGCTTTCGCTGGGTTTATGTAGTGGTCCCTTGATGGAGTTCTGAAAAGAAAGAAAATGTTCTCATCTACTTTCAAACTCTACAGCCTGAATTCCAAGAAACTCTTAATATATGCTTTTCTTTATCTCTTGCAAATATAATAGACCTGTTTTATGAAGTATTGGGAACAGGGACCTAATATTGGCCAGGATGACAGCCCACTGTGGCCTCTGACTGTTTGTGGAGGTTTAACTACTGGTGCATGTGGATCCTTCTTTACATGTGAATCCTTCTTTGCAATTACATACTCATGCAGGGGAAGGGCCTTAGATCCTGAATCTGAGAGAAAAAGCAAAGAGTCTGGCAGGGAGAGGAGGCCCACAGTGTCACAATTTAGAATTTGAAAACTTCCAGACGGATTAAATACAATGTAAATTCCGTTAATTAGGATAATGGATAACGAGTGGACAGTGAGGTCAACTGAAATGTCTTTTTATTATTATTATTATTATTTTTTAGGATGAAATGTCTTTTTTAAAAAATAATTTTATTGAGGCATAACCAACATACATTAGATTCAGGTGTACAACATAATGAAATGTTATAATGGTCTGTATACAATGCAAAAATGATCATTTAAGTCTAGTTAACATGTCATCAGTTACAATTGTTTTCTTGTGCTGAGAACTTCCAAGATCTACCCTCTTAGCAACTTTAAAAATATGCTGTACATTATTATTAACTAGTCATCATGCTGTACGTTATATCTCATGACCTATAACTAAAAGTTTGTACCTTTTGACCCTCTTCATCTATATCTCCCACCTCTGCCAATCTGTTCTCTATAAGCTTGGTTTCTTGTTTCATGGGTTTTTTTAAAAAATATTTATTTATTTGAGAGAGAGAGTGAGCAAGAGCATGTGCAAACATGAATGAAGGGACGGGCAGAGGGAGAGGGAGAGAGAATCCTCAAGTAGTCTCCCCACTGAGTGCAGAGCTCGATCCCAGGAGCCTGAGCCAAAATCAAGAGTTGGCTGCTTAACTGAGCCACCCAGGCTCCCCTTGGATTTTTTTAGATTCCACACGTAAGGGGCACGTGGGTGGCTGAGATGGTTGAGCATCTGTATTCTGCTCAGGTCATGGTCTCCAGATCCTGGGTTCGAGCCCCACATTGGGCTTCTGGCTCAGCAGGGAGCCTGCTTCTCCCTCTCCCTCTCTCCCTGACTTGTGTGCATTCTCTCAGATGAATAAATAAAATCCCTAAAAAAAATAGATTCCACATGTAAGATCATACCATATTTGTCTTTGACTGACTTAATTTAGCACCATGCCCTGGAGGTCCATCCAAGACATGCGGGGCTAGGAAGGGAGACACGGGTAGGAGCTGCATGACTAGGCTCACAGAAATCCGAGATGGGGAGAAATGCTGAGGCATACAAAACCAGAGATAGGGGTTACTGTTGGGGGTTGTGGAGGCTGAGAAAAATTAAGGCCACCTCAAGTTTAGCATTAGCACAAGTACAGCCATCTTGGGCCCCTGGGAATAAGAGCTGAACTTTACAGGAAAAACTGCAGAATGTCCTCGGCAGGAAATCCCATATCAGATCTTAAGAAACTTGAGGCCACCTCAAGTTTAGCATTAGCACAAGTACAGCCATCTTGGGCCCCTGGGAATAAGAGCTGAACTTTAGAGGAAAAACTGCAGAATGTCCTCGGCAGGAAATCCCATATCAGATCTTAAGAAACTCCCCGACCCTTTCCCCATATTGGAAAGAAAAAAAATTCCTCCACCTCTTCTGAAAATCCCCTAGACCAGCCCATAAAAAACCCAGCTGTAACCCACTTCGGGGTCCAAGCCCCTGCTCTGCTGTGTGAAGTATACTTGGACCCAAGCTCGAGCTTGTAAATAAACCCTCCTGTACTTGCATCAGTGTCGGCTTCTTGGTGGTTTCTCGGATTCACAATCTTGGGCACAACAGGGGTGAGTTAAGACTACAGAGGAATAGGGGACCCTAAGTGTGTCTGGTCCCTGGAATTCAGCTATATGGTTATCAAATCACCTGAATACCTGCAAAATCGATCAGAGATCTGAGATAAGAAATGCTGCAATTCTAAAATTAGAAAAGTGACTACTTTCTAGAAGGTATGAGGTGCCAAAATGTGAATCTGAGGTGATATAGTGATATACTGGAGGCTAGGTGGAGGGGAAGGAGCCTACTTAAGAAGGCTACTACAAAGTATTAGAAGTAGCCGAGCACAAAATCAGAATGTTTAGAAGTCTGCTCTGGTGGGGGACGTCCCTGGCCTAAAAGTGTTCAGGTGGTGAAGTGGGGGCGGAATCCCAGGTGGGACAGTGTGGTCTCAGGATCCCCAGGGCCACAAGAACCGTGGTGTCTGAGTGCAGCAGGGTTCCCAGGCATCAGAGTGGGGAAGCTGGCTGCAAAGAGCGGGCCTAGGCGACGACTTTGCTTCCTGTTGCCATAAACAGAGAACTGCTGCCCACTTGCAGGACTACTCTCCTGGGAAGGAGCCGGGCAAAAGGCAGAAGCGCCCAGAGACCCCTGCCCTCCCCTGAGAGGAATGGTGTGGGTCTGTGCCATAGGAGTCTGTGAAGTTTGGAGACTCGACACTGGGTCACATGCCTAAGATAAAAATGCTCGACACAGGCTGGGTGAACACAGAGTGTGGGCAGAAACCAGGGAGACAAGAGTGACTGCTTTTCCGTGAGGGCTCACTGAAGAGTGGGGGGTGCGAACTTTCAGCTCGGGGGCTAGAGATGGGGGCCCTGCCATATTCATCCCCCACATCAGTGCTGAAAGCCAGCAAAGAGCAAAACAGCACCACATAGTGCAATCTGGAGCCGCTTACACTGAGCTGGGCCCCCTGGTAAGGAAGGTGCAGTTCCGCCCAGGGAAGGACAACTGAGAATCAGTGCAACAAACCCCACCCCCAGACACCAGCAGGAGCTTCTGACTAATACCAAGGTTACTGATCATACAGGACTGTAGAACTTCAGCGATCAGGGAAAACAGTATACAGCATTCATGGTCTTTTATTATCCTTTAGTCTTTCAGTTTTGTTTTTTTTTTTTTCCTTTTTAGCTATTATTTTTTCAAAAAAAATTTTTAATGATTTTATTTATTTATTCCTGAAAGACAGAGAGAGAGGCAGAGACACAGGCAGAGGGAGAAGCAGACTCCCTGCAGGGAGCCCGATGTGGGACTCAATCCCGGATCCCGGGATCACGACCTGAGCCCAAGGCAGACGCTCAACCCCTGAGCCACCCATGTGCCCCTTACGTTTTCAATTGTTAAATTATTTTTAATTTTTATATAAAAGCGTTCATATATATGTATATATATACACACATGTATATGTATATATATTTGGTTCCCTTTCATTATATTTTGTTTTATTTTTGAACATATATAAGTTTTTCTTTCTTTCCTATTTTGGGATCTAGTTCATTGTTTTGTCCTGTTTTACTTCTTGTTTGATTTTTCTTATTTTGTATTGTGTTTTCTTCTGGTTTGTTTCTTTTTCAGGTGGTAGTGGTGTTATTTTTGTCTTTTCTTTCTTCTATTCTTTTCTGGACATAAGGACAAGGCAGAGAAACTCACCCCAAAAGAAAGAATGGAAGGATATACTCACTGCCAGGGATTTAATCAATATGGATATAAGTAAGAAGTCAGAACTAGAATTCAAAACAATTATAAAGATACTAGCTGGGCTTGAAAACAGCATGAAAGACACTAGAGAATCCGTTATGGTAGAAATAAAAGAACTAAGATCTAATCAGGCCAAAATTAAAAATGGTATTATAGAGATGCAGTCTAAAAGGGAAGCTCTAACAGTAAGGATAAAGGAGGCAGGAGAGAGAGTCTATGATGTAGAAGACAAAATGATGGAAAATAGCTGAGGGGCACCTGGATGGCTCAGTCAGTTGGCCAACTGCCTTTGGCTCAGGTCATAATCCTGGGCACTTGGGATCTAGCCCCGCATCCGGCTCCCTGCTCAGTGAGGACTCAGCTTCTTCCTCTCCCTGCTGCTCCCTCCGCTTGTGCTCTATCAGATAAGTAAAAATCTAAAGAAAAGAAAAGAAAAGAAAAGAAAAGAAAAGAAAAGAAAAGAAAAGAAAAGAAAGTGTAGCTGAGCAAAAGAGAGAAAAACAACTACTAAATCACAAGGGAGACTTTGAGAAATCAGTAATATCATAAAGCAAAATAGTATCTGGATAATAGGGGTCCCAGAAAAGGAAGGGAGGGCCAGAAGGTTTATTTGAACAAATTATAGCTGAGAACTTCCCTAATCTGAAGAAGGAAATAGGCATTCAAGTCCAGGAGGCACAGAGAAACCCCTCTCAAAAATCAATAAAAATAGGTCAACACCACAACATTTATTAGTGAAGCTTGCAAATTTCAGAGATAAAAGAGAAAATCCTGAATGCAGCTCAGGACAAGAGGTCCTTAACGTACAAGGATACAAACATTAGACTGGCAGCAGACCTGTCCACAGAGACCTGGCAAGCCAGAAAGAACTGGCATGATATATTCAGTGTGCTAAATGGGAAAAATATGCAGCCAAGAATTCTTTATCCAGCAAGGCTCTCATTAAGAATAGAAGGAACAATTTACAGAAACAGTGACTTTACAGGTAAGACAATGGCACTAAATTCATATCTTTCAACAATTACTCTGAATGTAAATGGGCTAATGCTCTAATCAAGAGACATAGGGTATCAGATTAGATTTGTTTTTTTTTTAATTTTTATTTATTTATGATAGTCACACAGAGAGAGAGAGAGGCAGAGACACAGGCAGAGGGAGAAGCAGGCTCCATGCACCGGGAGCCCGACGTGGGATTCGATCCCAGGTCTCCAGGATCACGCCCTGGGCCAAAGGCAGGCACTAAACCGCCGCGCCACCCAGGGATCCCTCAGATTAGATTTAAAAAAACAAAACCTAGGGGTACCTGAGTTGCTCAGTCGGTTAAGCAGCTGCCTTTGGCTCAAGTCAGGATCTCTGGGTCCTGGGATCAAGCCCCACATAGGGCTCCATGCTCAACAGTGAGTCTGCTTCTCCTTTTTCCTCTGTTGTTCCCCCTGCTTGTGCTCTCTCTCTCTGCAAATAAATATTTTTAAAAACCAAGATTCATCACAATATGCAGTCTACAAAAGACTCATTTTAGATGTAAAGATACCTCCAGATTGAAAGTGAGGAGGTGGAGAACCATTAATCATGCTAAAGGACATCAAAAGAAAGCTGGAATAGCCATCCTTATTATCAGACAAACTAGATTTTAAACCAAAGACTGGAATAAGAGATAAAAAGGGACACTATATCATAATAAAAGAGTATTGAACAAGAAGATTTAACAATTGTAAATATTTATGCCCCTGATTTAGGAGCAGCCAAATATATAAACCAATTAACAACAAAATTAAAGGAACATTGATAATAATACAATAATAGTAGGGGATTTTGACACCCCAGTCACAGCAATGGACGGATAATCTAAGCAGAAGATCAACAAGGAAACAAGGGCTATGAATGACACACTGCACCAGGTGGCCTTCATGGATTTTTTTAAAAGATTTTTTTATTTATTCATTCATGAAAGACACACAGAGAGAGGCAGAGACATAGGCAGAGGGAGAAGCAGGCCCCATGCAGGAAGCCTGACGTGGAACTTGATCCCGGCACTCCGGGATCATGCTCCGAGCCAAAGGCAGACACTCAACTGCTGAGCCATGCAGGCGTCCCCTTCACAGATTTTTCAGAGCATTTCATCCTAAAGCAACAGAATGCACACGGATCATTCTCCAGAATAAATCACATACTGGGTCACAAATCAGACTGGGTCACAAAAAAGACTGAGATTATACCATGCATATTTTCTGACCATAATACTTTAAAACTTGAGCTCAATCACAAGAGAAAATTTGGAAGGAACATAAATAAATGCAGGTTAAAGAGCATCCTACTTAAGAATGAATGGGTCAACCAGGGAATTAAAGAAAAATTTAAAAAATACATGGAAACAAATGAAAACAAAAACACGACAGTTCAGGGCAGCCCCGGTGGACCAGCAGTTTAGTGCCGCCTTCGGCCCAGGGCATGATCCTGGAGACCCAGGATCGAGTCCCACATCAGGCTCTCTGCCTGGAGCCTGCTTCTCCCTCTGCCTGTGTCTGTGTGTGTGTGTGTCTCTCTCTGTCATGAATGAATGAATGAATGAATAAATAAATAAATAAATAAATAAATAAATAAATAAATAAATCTTAAAAAAAAAAAAACACACGACAGTTCAGAACCTTTGGGATACAGCAAAGGCAGACCTAAGAGCAATATAAGCCTTTCTCAAGAAAGAAGAAAGTCTCAAACACACAAACTAATCTTACACCTAAAGGAGCTGGAGAAAGAACAGCAAATGAGGCCTAAATCCAGGAGGAGAAGCGAAATAATAAAGATTAGAGCAGAAATCAATCTGCTCTAATCAATCAATCAAATCAAAAAAGAACAGATCAATGAAACTAAAAGCTGGTTCTTTGAAAGAATAAGATCGATAAGCCCCTAGCCAGACTAATCAAAAAGAGAAAGGACCCAAATAAATAAAATCATGAATGGAAGAGGAGAGATAATAACAAACACCTAAGAAATACAAATATAGGGCAATATTAAGAGCAATTATATGCTAACAAACTAGGCAATCTGGAAGAAATGGATGCATTCCTAGAAACTTATGCACTACCAAAACTAAAACAGGAAGAAATAGAAAACCTGAACACACCCATAACCAACAAAGAAATTGAATCAGTAATCAAAAATATCCCAACAGGGGCACCTGGGTGGCTCAGTGGTTGAGCACCTGCCTTTGGCTCAGGTCATGATCCCGGGGTCCTGGGATCGAGTCCTGCATCAGGCTCCCCACAGGAAGTCTGCTTCTCCCTCTGCCTGTCTCTGCCTCTTTCTCTGTATCTCTCATGAATGAATGAATGAATGAATGAATGAATGAATGAATAAATAAATAAATAAAATCTTGAAAAAAAATCTCCCAACAAACAATAGTCCAGGGCCAGATGGACTCCCAGTGGAATTCTACCAAACATTTAAAGATGAATTAATACCTACTCTTCTGAAGCTGTTTCAAAAAATAGAAATGGGGGACGCCTGGGTGGTTCAGTGGTTGAGCATCTGCCTTTGGCTCAGGGCGTGGTCCTGGGGTCCTGAGATCGAGTCCTGCATCAGGCTCCCTGTGGGAAGCCTGCTTCTCCCTCTGCCTGTGTGTCTGTCTCTGTCTCTCTCTGTGCCACTCATGAATAAATAAAATATTTAAAAAAACAGAAATGGAAGGAAAACTTTCAAACTCATTCTATAAGGCCAGCATTACCTTGATCCCAAGACCAAAGACTCCACTAAAAAGAATTATAGACCAATATCCCTGATGAACATGGATGCCAAAATTCTCACCAAGTTACTAGCCAATAGGATCCAACAGTATATGAAAAGGATTATTCACCATGACCAAGTGGGATTTATGCCTAGGCTACAAGACTGGTTCAACATCTACAAATTAATCAACATGATGCACTACGTTAATTAAAGAAAGGACAAGAACCATATGATCCTCTCAATAGAAGCAGAAAAAGCATTTGACAAAATACAGCATCCTTTTTAAAAAAAGATTCTTTTTAATTTATTTATTCATGAGAGACAGAGAGAGATAGAAGCAGAGACACAGGCAGAGGGAGAAGCATGATCCCTGCAAGGAGCCTGATGTGGGACTTGATCCCGGATCCTGGGATCACGCCCTGAGTTGAAGGCAGATGCTCAACCACTGAGCCACCCAGGTATCCCAACAGCATCCTTTCCTAATAAAAACTCTCTGCAGTATAGGGATAGAGGGAGCATATCTCAATATCATAAAAGCCATATATGAAGAACCCATAGTGAATATCATCCTAAATGGAGGAAAACTGAGAGCTTTTTCCCTAAGGTCAGAACATGGCAGGGATGTCCACTCTCATCACTGCTGTTCAACATAGTACTGAAGTCCTAGCCTCAGCCATCAGACCAAAAAAAGAAATAAAAGGCATTTAAATTGGCAAAGAAGTCAAACTTTCACTCTTCACAGATGACATGATGGGTCATGTAGAAAACCCAAAAGAGGAAGGGTGCCTGGGTGGCTCAGTCAGTTAAGAGTTTGCCTTCCACTTAGGTCATGATCCCAGGGTCCCAGGACAGAGCCCCACATCGGGCTCCCTGCTTAGTGGAGAGCCTGCTTCTCCCTCTCCCTCTGTTGCTCCCCCTGCTTGTGCATGCTCTATCAAATAAATAAATAAAAATCTTAAAAAAAACCCAAAAGATTCCACCCCAAAATTGTTAGAACTGATACATGAATTCAGCAAAGTCACAGGATATAAAATCAATGTACAGAAATCTGTTGCATTTCTATACACTAATAATGAATCAGCACAAAGAGAAATCAAGGAATTGATTGCATTTACAATTGCATCAAAACCCATAAGATACCTAGGAATAAACCTAACCAAAGTAGTAAAGGATCTGTACTCTGAAAACTATAGAACACTTATGAAAGAAATTGAGAAAGACACAAAGATATAGAAAAACATTCTATGCTTATGGATTGGAAAAACAATTATTGGGGTGCCCAGATGGCTCAGTGGTTGAGTGTCAGCCTTTGGCTCAGGTCCTGATCCTGAGCCAAAGGATCAATGCTACCCAAAACAATCTACACATTCAATGCAATCCCTATCAAAATACCATCAGCATTTTTCAGAGCTGGAACAAACAATCCTTAAATTCATATGGACCAGAAAAGAACCCTGAAAAACCAAAGGAATGTTGAAAAAGAAAAACAAAGCTGGAAGCATCAGAATTCCAGACTTCAAACTGTACTACGAAGCTGTGATCATCAAGACAGTGTGGTACTGGCACAAAACAGACACATAGATCAATGGAACAGAACAGCAATCCCAGAAATGGACCCTCAACTTGATGGTCAACTCGTCTTCGACAAAGCAGGAAAGACTATCCACTGGAAAAAGGACAGTCTCTTCAACAAATGGTGCTGGGAAAATTGGACAGTCACGAGCAAAGAATGAAACTGGACCATTCTCTTATACCACACACAAAAATAAACTCAAAATGGATGAAAGACTTAAATGTGAGACAGGAATCCATCAAAATCCGAGAAAAGAACACAGGCAGCAACCTCTGTGACCCCAGCTGCAGCAACTTCTTGCTAGATACATCTCCAGCGGCAAGGGAAACAAAAGCAAAAGTGAACTACTGGGACTTCATGAAGATAAAAAGATTTTGCACAGCAAAGGAAACTGTCAACAAAACTAAAAGGGAACCTACAGAATGGGAGAAGATATCTGCAAATGTCTTATCAGATAAAGAACTATAGGGCAGCCCCGGTGGCTCAGCGGTTTAGCGCCACCTTCAGCCCAGGGCCTGATCCTGGGGTCCCGGGATCAAGTCCCACATCAGGCTTCCTGCATGGAGCCTGCTTCTCCCTCTGCCTGTGTCTCTGCCCCCGTCTCTCTCTGTATGTCTCATGAATAAATAATCTTTAAAAAAAAGATAAAGAACTATAATCTTTATATTCTATAAAGAAATTATCAAACTCAACATCCAAAAAACAACAAATTCAGTCAAGAAGTGGGCAGAAGACATGAACATTTCTCCAAAAGACATACAAATGGCCAACAGATATATAAAAAATGCTCAACATCACTGGGCATCAGGAAAATACTAATCAAAACCACAATGAGATAACATCTCACACTGGTCAAAATGGCTAAAATTAACAACTCAGGAAACAACAGTTGTTGGTTAGGATGCAGAGAAAGGGGAACCCTCATATACTGTTGGTGGGAATGCAAACTGGTGCAGCCACTATGAAAAACAGTATGGAGGTTCCTCAAAAAGTTAAAAACAGAACTACTCTATGACCCAGCAATTATATTACTAGGTATTTATCCAAAGGACACAAATATAGTGATTTGAAGAGGCACCTACATCCCAATGTTTATAGCAGCAGTGTCCACAATAGCCACAATAGCCCAGATATCCATTCATCTGTCAATGGACATCTGGGCTATTATATATGTATACACACACATACATACACACACACACACACACACACACACACAGAGGAATATTATGCAGCCATCATGAAGAATGAAATCTTGAAGTGCCTTGGTGGCTCAGTCAGTTAAGTAGCTGCCTTCCACTTGGGTCATGATCCTAGAGTCCTGGGATTGAGCCCTGCATGGGGCTCCATGCTCAGCAGAGTCTGCTTCTCCCTCTGTCCCCTTTCCTGCCTCCCTGCCCACCCCCACACCCTGCTCATGTTCTCTTTCTCTCCCCTGCCCTCAAACAAAATCTTAAAAAAAAAAAAGAAGAAGAATGATACCTTGCCATTTGCAATGACAAGGATGGAACTAGAGGGTATTATGTTAAGCAAAATAAGTCAACCAAAGAAAGACAAATACTATATGATTTCACCCATATGTGGAATTTAAGAAACAAAACAGATGAACATAGAAGGGCAGGAAAAATAAAATAAGATGCGAACAGAAAGGGAGACAAACCATAAGAGACTCTTAACTAAAACAAAAAGAAGACTAGGAGGGCCAAGTGTTGGAGACATCAGAAAGTTTTTTTTTTAGTGTTTTGTTTTAAAGATTTTATTTATTTATTCATGAGAGACACGGAGAGAGAGGCAGAAACATAGGCAGAGGGAGAAGCAGGCTCCCTGTGAGGAGCCCAATGCAGGACTTGATCTGGGAACCCTGATCATACCCTGAGCTGAAGGCAGACACTCAACCACTGAGCCACCCAGGCATCCCCATCAGAAAGTTTTAATTCTCAAAAATATGTCCCCCGTTTCCAAGGGTCATGTTGCCATCATAATCTTAGATGGACCCTATAATGCCATTTTTTGTTCTGGAGCCCAAATGGAGATGGATATTCTGGTGACCCTGGGGCCCAGAACACCCAGGGCTAATCTACTGGGTGAGATAATGGTACTGTGGTTAAGTAGGAAAATGTCTTTTTTTTAATAAAAGAGCTGCAAACAGAGATATTTAGCATCAAAGTATGATATTTGTAATCTACCTTGGATACCTCAGCAAAAATCCCTTATTTGGTGGTGCCTGGGTGGCTCAGTTGGTAAAGCATCTGCCTTCAGCTCAGGTCATGATCCCGGGATTCGGGATCAAGCCCTACATCAGGCCCCCTGCTCAGAAGGGGAGTCTGCTTCTCTCTCTCCTTCTGCCCCTGCTCGTATGCGTGCTCTCTCTCTTGCTCATTCAAATAAATAAATAAAATATTTGATAAAGGAAAAAGAAGAAAAAATCCCATATCTGAAAAAACAATGTCAAAATGCTAACAAACGGAATGCCTGGGTGGCTCAGCAGTTTAGCATCTGCCTTCAGCTTAGGGTGTGATCCCACAGTCCTGGGATTGAGTCCCACATCGGGCTCCCTGCAGGGAGCCTGCTTCTCCCTCTGCCTGTGTCTCTGCCTCTCTCTCTCTCTGTCTCTCATGAATAAATAAATAAAATCTTTTAAAAAATGCTAACAAATACTAAATCCTAGTGGTATTAATTATACTATTCCCTTTGCTTTCCTGAATATTTTCATGATGAAAAGGGGAAAAAAACCTATGTCTTTGGGGTGGGGGGCATCCTTTCCAAGAGCTCAGTCTAATGGAGGAGACAGACGTAATTAAAATCAGTTTTAATGGGGCAGCCAGGGTGGCTCAGCGGTTTAGCACCGCCTTTGGCCCAGGGCCTGATCCTGGAGACCTGGGATCGAGTCCCACGTCGGGCTCCCTGCGTGGAGCCTGCTTCTCCCTCTGCCTGTGTATCTGCCTTTCTCTCTCTCTCTCTCTCTCTCTCTCTCTCATGAATGAATAAATGGGATCTTTAAAAAAATCAGTTTTATTACAAAGTACTGCATGACCATTGTTGAAGTGAGTTAAGCCAAGCCATATGCAGGGAGAGACTGGCACTGTACTAAGGTAGACTCTCTGTATCAGTGCCAGAAGCAAGAGAAAGAACATGAAAAACTGAGGAGACAGAAGGTAGTTCTCAGGTTACAGAGGATGCTGCAAGAGTGACAGGGCATGTGTGATTAGAGAAGGATCAATCGGGGTCTGAACTTTACCCTGAAAGCTACAGAGTACTGAAGGATTTTAAGTAGGGGACAGACATACTCACATTTGTGCTTTAAGAAAGTTCACTCAGGGGCACCTGGACAGTTCAGTTGGTTAACTATCTGACTTTGTTTCAGCTCAGGTCATGATCTAATGGGTTGTGGGATCAAGCCCTGTGTGTAGGCTCCATGCTCAGTGAGGAGTTTGCTTGAGATTCTCTCCCTCTGCCTCACCCTCCCCATTTGCACACGTGTGCACTTTTTTTTATGTGTGCACTTTCTCTCTCTAAAATAAATAAATAAATAAATAAATAAATAAATAAATAAATAAATAAATAAATCTTTTTTTTTTTTAAAGTTCATTCTTCCAACAGTGAGAGAGAAAAGGAGCAACAGGAGCCAGGAAACCCAGGTGACATCAGAGGAAAAGACACCTTTATGTAATGTGTCCCCAGAGGCGGCACCCTCTATCAATCACCAGCCAGAAGGCACAAAAAGGTGACTTTCTGTGAGGCACCACCCCACAGGGAGTGTCTTCCATAAATCACCTGCCAGCCTGAGGGGGTCCTTTATGGTGTGCCTTTTTGAAAATGGCCCAGAGGTGCCCAATGAGTGTGAGAATGACACAAGAGAGCTGCTCCATGGGCTGATGGAGCCCTGTATGGCTTGCTTTGCTGCCACATAGTCTCACAGCCCAACTCTGCCTTGGTTCGCTGCCACATGCCTTGCACAGCCAGACACAACCCATGTGGAGTCACATTGCTCAGGGGTGAATCTCAGCTGTGAGAGCCTGAGTGCGGTTACTTGCAACCTGCTGTGCCCCATTTCCCCAACTCTGAGATGTGTTCTGCAGTTACTATGTGGAATAAACAGCACTAATGGACACCAAGCACTTAGCAGGGTGCCAGGCATAAAGTCAGTGAGTGCTCAACAATTCTCGGCTACTGTTTTTGTGTTTAACCTTCCTCTGAAATAAGTTTTACCAAGCAAAACGAGTTTGGAAGCCAGGCTTGCAAAGTGATGCTGGCCTTCTTACCCCTGGAGTCTGTGTCAAGTCAGAGTCACTGTCGCTGTCATTGGAATACTTCTTGTGTTTTCTTCTAAAGGATTTTTTCTTTCTCCTTTTCTTGGAATTTTCTTTCGAATGACCAGACTTCTTCTTCTTTTCTTCTACACAAGGTACAAATATAAAATTAACTTCTAAGCAAGTATTACAACGATCAGTTTTATTGTATTTGAAATACTGGAAAAGAACAAGTGACAGGCAACCTGAGTAAAAGCAAAGTCTATTGTTCAACTATGTATAAACATTTTTTTTCAACTTCTCAATAAAGAAGCTCTGTAGTATTTTAAAAAATACCTTCTGTGCAGCCCGGGTGGCTCAGTGGTTTAGTGCGTGCGGCCTTCAGCCCAGGGCCTGATCCTGGAGACCTGGGATCAAGTCCTGTATCAGGCTCCCTGCATGGAGCCTGCTTCTCCCTCTGCCTGTGTCTCTGCCTCCCCCCGCCCCCCTCCCTCTCATGGATGAATAAAACCTTTAAAATAAATAAAAAATAAAAATAAATAAAAATAAAAAATACCTTCTGAAGTAGAAGCTGAAGTGCTGCTTTTCTTTGGCTCATCATATTCTCCTGGTGTGTGCTCATCAATGCTGAATTTAAAGAAGATAGTTGTAAGAATCAGAAAAGTAATAAAATGTGAACCATGGAGTATAAAAATATGGAATCAAAAAATTTCAGTAATGATATCGATTGTCCAAGGACCATTAAAAGCTAATACTGGAATAACTTTATTCGACTGCCTCTCTCTCTCTGTCTCTCATGAATAAATAAATAAAATCTTTAAAAAAAATGCTAACAAATACTAAATCCTAGTGGTATTAATTATACTATTCCCTTTGCTTTCCTGAATATTTTCATGATGAAAAGGGGAAAAAAAACTATGTCTTTGGGGTGTGGGGCATGCTTTCCAAGAGCTCAGTCTAATGGAGGAGACAGACGTAATTAAAATCAGTTTTAATGGGGCTGAATACAGGTCTATCACCTTCATGATAATGTAATAATCACTTATGTTTGCATAAAGCTTTAGAGTTTACAAAGTCCTATTCAAACTAAAATCAACATGTATTTTTTTAAAGATCTATTTTTTTATTATTTGAGAGAGAATCGGGGGGCAGAGGCAGAGGGAAAGGGAAAGAGAGAATTCCAAGCAAACTTCCCACTTAATGCAGAGCCCAATGCAGGGCTTGATCCCACAACCCCCAGATCATGACTTGAGCCAAAACCAAGAGTTGGACACATAACCATCTGGGCCACCCAGGTGCTCTGTATTTTCAATGCTTCCTACAAGATACTCACTTCAGACCTAACAGCATGCACACTCAAAGTGAAGGGATACAAAAACCTTTATCGTGGAAATACAAGTGGAAAGAAAGCTGGGGTAACAATACTTCTATCAGACAAAACAGACTTTATTTAATTTTTTTTTAATTCTTAGTAATCTATATGCCCAACATGGGGCTTGAACTCATCACTCTGAGATCAAGAGTTGCATACCCTACTGATCGAGCCAGCCATGGGCCCCAGACAAAATAGACTTTAAAACAACAACTAGGGGTGCCTGGGTGGCTCAGTCAGTTGAGCGTCTGCCTTCAGCTCAGGTCATGATCCTGGAATCCTGGAATCCAGCCCCGGGTCAGGCTCCCTGCTATGCGAGGAGTCTGCTTCTCCCTTTCCCTCTGCCCCACCCCACTTGTGTTTACTCTCTCTCTCAAATAAATAAATAAAATCTTTTAAAAAACAACAACAGGGGTGCCTGGCTGGCTCATTTGGTAGGGTGTGTGACTCTTGATCTTGGGGCTATGAGTTTGAGCCCCACTTTGAGCATACAGATTACTTAAAAAAAAGACAAGACACAATGAAGGATACTACATAATGATAAAGGTAATAATCCAATAAGAGGATATAAAACTGTAAATATTTATGCATTCAACACGGAAGCACCGAATACTAAATACTATGCTATCTAAAGCAACTATTAACAGACATAAGGGAAAAAACTGACAGTAATACAGTAATAGTAGGGGACTTTAACACCTTACTTACATCAATGGCTAGATAATCCAGACATAAAATCAACAAGGAAACAGTGGCTTAGAAGGACAGATGGACCAGGTGGACCCAACAGATAAATTCAGAACATTCTATGCAAAAACAGTAAAATATATATTCTTTTCAAGTGCACACAGAATATTCTCCAGAATAGATCACGTTAGGCCACAACACGTCTCAATAAATTCAAAAAGACTGAAATCATATCATGTACCTTTTCTAACCACAACAGTATAAAACTAAAAATCAATCAAGAAAAATCTGGGAAGAACATAAATACAATGAAGGCTAACTAATATGCTACTAAACAATGAGTGAGTCAACCAAGAAATCAGAGAAAATAAAAAAATACATGGACACAAATGAAAAATGAAAACACAATGGTCCAAAATCTTAGGATGCAGCAAAGGCTGTTCTAAGATGGGAAATTATTATAGCAATACAGGCCTACCTCAAGAAGTAATGAAAAATCTCAAAAAACCACCTAACCATACACCTAAAGGACTTGGGGGAAAAAAACAACAAATGAAGCCTAAAGCCAGCAGAAGGAAGGAAATAATAAAGATTAGAACAGAAATAAATGATACAGAAACTAAAAAACCCCAAAAGAACAGATCAATGAAACCAGAAGCTGGTTCTTGGAAAAGTCAACAAAATTGATAAACCTTTAGCCAGGTTCATGAAAAAAAAAAAGGAGAGAGGGAGAGAGGGGAAGGGAGAGAGAGAGGGAAAGAGAGAGGGAGAAAGAGAAGACTCAAAATTAGAAATGAAGGGGAACAAAAAGAAACGAAGGAGGAGAAATAACAACCAGTATCACAGAAATACAGAGGATTGTAGAATATTATGAAAAACTATATGCTAACAAGTTGGACAACCTAGAGAAATGGATAAATTCCTAGAAATACATGACTTTCCAAAACAAATCAGGAATAGAAAATTTGAACTAGGGGATCCCTGGGTGGCTCAGTGGTTTAGCACCTGCCTTCAGCCCAGGGTGTGATCCTAGAGTCCCGGGATCGAGTCCCACGTCGGGCTCCCTGCATGGAGCTTGCTTCTCCCTCTGCCTGTGTCTCTGCCTCTCTCACTGTGTGTGTCTCTCATGAAAAAATAAATAAAATCTTAAAAAATTTTTGAACTAGTATTGAAATTGAATCAGTAATCAAAAACTCCCAATAAACAAATGTCCAGAACCAGATGACTTCAGAAGTGAATTCTACCAAACATTTAAAGAATTAATTCCAAAAAACAGAAAGGAAAGTTTCCGAATTCATTTATGAGGCCAGTATTACCCTGATACTAAAATCAGATAAAGATACTACAAAAAAGAGAACTATATTCTAATATTTTTTATGAAATATGCAAAAATCCTCAACAAAACATTAGCAAACTGAATTCAACAATACATTAAAAAAGCCATTTATCAGGGCACCCAAGTAGCTAAGTCAGTTAAATATCCAACTCCTGATTTCAGCTTAGGTCATGATCTCGGGGTTGTTGGAGGAGTCTCACGTCTGGCTCTGTGCTCAGTGCGGAGTATGCTTGAGAGATTCTCTCTCTCTCTCCCCCTGTCCCTCTCTCCCTCCTCTGTGCACACTGTCTCTCTCTCTCTCTCTCTCCCTAAAATAAATAAATAAAATTTTTTTAAAGTCATTTACCACGATCGAATGGGATTTATTTCAGGGATGCAAAGGTGGTTCCAAATTTGCAAATCAGAGGTGCCTGGGTGGCTCAGTTGGTTAAGCATGTGACTCTTGATTTCAGCACAGGTCATGATCTCAGGGTCCAGGGATCAAGCCCCAAGTCCAGCTCCCTGCTTAGTGGAGAATCTGCTTGTCTCCCTCTTCCTCTGCCCCTCCCTCTGCTCACGCACTCTCTCTCTAAAATAAATAAATCTTTTTAAAAATTTGCAAACCAACGGGATGCATCACATTAACGAGAGAGGAGTAAAACCATATGATCATTTTGAGAGATGGAGAGAGAAAGCACTGGACAAAGCACACCACCCATTCATGATAAAAAAAAAAACCCTCAACTTGGGGTGCCTGAGTGGTTCAGTAGTTTGGGTGCCTGCCTTTGGCTCAGGTCATGGTCCCAGGGTCTGGGATCAAGCCCCACATCCGGTTCTCTACTGGGTGGAGAGCCTGCTTCTCCTTCTCCCTCTGCCTGCTGTTCTTCCTGCTTGTGCTCTGTCAAATAAATAAATAAATAAATAAATAAATAAATAAATAAATAAATAAATAAATAAATAAATAAATAAATAAAATCTTTAAAAATTTTTTTAAATAAAAAAAAATGGGCACCTGGGTAGCTTAGCAGTTGAGCATCTCCCTTTGGCCCAGGTCATGATCCCAGGGTCCTGGGATTAAGTCCCACATCAGGCTCCCTGGAGGGAGCCTACTTCTCCCTCTGCCTAGGTCTCTGCCTCTCTCTCTGTGTCTTCTCATGAATAAATAAAATCTTTTTTAAAAATTAATTAATTAAAAAATTAAAAAATAAAAACCCCCAATAAAGTAGGTTTTGAGGGAACATACCTCAACATAATAAAGGCCATATGTGGAAAAACCCACAGCTAGGGGTGCCTGGGTGGCTCAGTCAGTTGGGTGTCTGCCTTTGGCTCAGGTCATGGTCCTGGGGTCCTGGGATCAAGTCCCATGTCATGCTTCCTGCTAATGGGGAGTGTGCTTCTCCCTCTGCCCCTCCCTCCCGCTAGTGCTCTCTCACTCTCTCAAAAAAGAAAATCTTAAAAAAAAAAGAAAAACCCACAGCTAACGTCATCCTCAATAGGGAAAAACAGAGAACTTCCTCTAAGATCAAGAATGAGACAAAGATGTCCACTCTCACCACTTTTATTCAACATAGTACTGGAAGTCCTAGTGACAGCAATCAGACAACAAAAAAGAAATAAAAGGCATCCAGATTGGAAGGAAGTGGGCAGCCTGGGTGGCTCAGCGGTTTGGCGCTGCCTTCAGCCCAGGGCGTGATCCTGGAGACCTGGGATCAAGTCCTGCGTCGGGCTCCCTGCATGGGGCCTGCTTCTTCCTCTGCCTGTGTCTCTGCCTCTCTCTCTCTCTCTCTCTCTCTCTCTCTCTTTCTTATGAATAAATAAATAAAATCTTTACAAAAAAAAAAACAAAACGAATTGGTAAGGAAGAAGTAAAACTTGCTATTTGCAGATGACACGATACTATATAAAGAACACCTTAAAGACTCCAACCCAAAACGGCTAAAACTGATAAATGAATTCATTAAGGTCACAGGATACAAAATCAATATACAGGAATCCATTGCATTTCTATACAGTAATAATGAAGTAGCAGAAAGAAATGAAGAATATAATCCCACTTACAATTGCGCTAAAAATAATATAAAATACCTAGGAATAAACTTAACCAAGGAGGTGAAAGACCTGTACTCTGAAAATTATAAAATTTTGAGAAGAAATTGAATATGACACTAACAAATGAAAAGATAGTTCATACTCATGGATTGGAAGAACAAATATTCACAAATATGCACAAAAAATGTACATACTATTAAAATA